ATCTGATACAGGATTCTTATCACTTTCTTATGAAATTCTTATAAGATTCTTACTCGATTCTTATCTGATTCTTACGAAATTCGTGCAACTTTCGTGCCACTTCTTATATACGAATCTGATAAGAATCTTATCCGATTCTTATCAGAAATTTCAAAAAACATTTGTCTAGGGTTAGGCATTTCATTGAAAACAGGGATATAATGGCTGTAAAAAGAAGCGGTGATTGTTCTAAATAAAAAGAAAAATGCTGTTTCCCTCTGGATTTTGCCACGATGTTTCCAAAAACCCTGGTCATATAAACTAAAGTCTTTTAGCTACACAAGTGTTTTTAATCCAAAACAAGACTGCATCGATTATTGTTGCAAGTTGCTCGAGAGAAATGCACTTATAATCGCATCATCAGTTATGACACTACTTTTTTCAAAATAGTTTTCTCAGTCTGTTTATGCACTTTTGAAGACAAGTCAAATATAAAGATATCAGACAACAATCGGTTATACACTTTCGTTTTTTTTTATATCTGTTCAAACCCAAACAGGCGATGCTGCAGGAAACATTCGAAGTGATCAGAGACATTCAAGGCAGCAGCCATTGAGCAAATAAAAAAGAATTGTCGTGAGACTAATATTGTCTGTGATAAAAAATTGACCCTTTGACGTACGAGTTTTGGATGGCGGCGTTCCATCGATGTCGATACTGTAATCAGGTGACTTAGACTATCATGCACGGTGATTCGGTCAACAATACTCAGGTACTGCACGTGTGATGTGACCATTTGTAGCGATCAATATGAGTATGAATAGAAGTTTTGATAACTTAAAACAAAAGGGATTAAACTTTTTTTCTTTATTTAGACAAGTAAAATAAAACCCAATCTAGCATGTTAGTTTATGGTAGAAACCATGCGGATTTATAAGGAGAATAAGTACATACCCTACATAAAGAAACAAACAAAGTTTGAGCAATATAATGTGGAATAAGTAAAAGCAATTTCTCTGAATCGCATAAAGCTACTTTATAAACTGAACATTCTAGTGAAGCTCATTGTTTTAGTGCTGCGATAGGCACATCTAGGTATACGACGGACCGGACAAATGTCCGATGTTTGACTCAAGCATGTTCCATTCGGACACGATTTGACTCGAATAATCTTGTTTAATATAAGAAATGAGTAAAATAGAAAGAAAAATAACAATCCCCTTCAACTAATCAACAGTTGTCCTCGAAAATCCCTTTCGGTTCTAATATCATCCCTGTTCTAAACTTTACTGTTTCTCAACATCTCTCACTCAAACTCTCCACGAAGAAATTTACACACTAAGCAGACACTTAACAGAAATGAAAAATGTCAAACAGTGTTTGAATGTTTTGTTCGAACATGTCCGAATCGGTTAATACGCAAGTCAAACAGTGTTTGATTCAGACACTGTTTGAGTCAAACTGTGATTGAGTCAAACAGTATCCGATTCGAACTTGCCCGTGTTGGTTGTTCGGTCCGTCGTATACCTAAGCACATCTCCTTCAAGACGTAGGTAGTGAAAGATGAATACCAACATTGGAAAATCGAACTTCATCACAAATAGATATTTTCCCTTCCCGTTCTTGCGCTTCTTGACACCAGAGTCGGCTAAAACCTGCAAGTATTTCATGTTGTTAAGTCTCTATGACAGATTACAAAAGTATTCGATAATGTTACATTGAGGAAATGGAAAAATATCCGGAACCAATTCCTTTTTGACTTTTTATCAATAGCGCAATACTGAATTCGTTAACCAGCACAATCAGCTCCAGTCCTTCGATAATTGTAATCCCGAATCATTACCGCACAACGTAGGTGAACTACTTTGCCATCCTTCAATTTGCAATCAATTTTTGTCATGTTTGCTGGGTCAGCAAAATTAGACATCACGAATACCGGTTTTCGATCTATCTACTTGACAACTGATATGGAGTTTTTGGAAAACGTTTACCTCACCGCGATCCATTTTGCTATCACAAATAATTCAAAATGGAATGCCTTTTCTGTCGGTTCTAACAGTACCACTGCAGTAAATGTCATCTTCTAGAAGATATTCAACAAGCAATGGGGACGTGAAAAAGGACCCCGCCGGTTACGAAAAGTTGCTCCGTTTGATCTCGCATTTTAGGATTTTCTAGAGTAATGAAAGACAAATTTTTCTATATTGTCAAAAAAATTTTCAAACTCCCTCTTCACAAAAACGTGTGGTGAAAACTTTTTCTTGTCATTTCCTAACAGTCAAAGTTATGATTGTTTAAACTTCTTCTAGAAATGTTATCTAAGGCTCGTTCACATATCACCGTGTGCAGTTTTCGATGCTCTTTCCGAATCACTATAGGATGGTTAGGCCAACTTCACTCTTGACGGAACAGCAGCTAACTTTTTCGAAGTGGTCGAATTTTGACCAAAAACCTGTATCAAATAATTTGGCTGGTGTTCGCTAGTGTTAAGATGTTTCAGTAAGATTTTTTCCAAAAAACATCCTCACACCTCGAGCAAGAAAGCAGGCTTTTAACGAAATCGAAATTCTGACGACTTTAAGCAACAGAGTCACTTTAATGACAAAAGTATGTATTTTTCGAATTTTTTAAAAAACGTTTTTTCATCTTTTTTCACTTGATTTCATTTCAAACTTGTTCAAAACACGTTTTTAAGGTAAAACAAAGAGATTTGCGTGGTTGCCAAATACTTCTTTCTACAGCTTCAAGAAAATCCGCTGGCTCCGACCTGAAAACTTTTCTGCCTGATCCGCTTATATTTGGAAGCTAAAAGAATTCTGCAGAAGTTCTTGGTTTTGTCGACAAACCTTACCTGTTCGCGAGCATGTTGATTGAGCTCTTGTTCATTTCTATCATTAGTTAATGCATATGTGCCGTCTCCATACAAAGAATGGTTATGACGATTTTGCCATTGATTATTCGTCATAGTTTCAAATATTCTTTCAAACTCATCGACAACAAAATCCGTTGATTTATATGGACCACGCAAATCTGTTTGTTGAGGTCCATTCTAAATAAAATGCATACTTTTTCGGCAAGTGAACTAGTGAAAGTTTATAGAGTTAATTACACGTCGTCTCCATCTCATCCATATATAATAGTTCGTCTTGTCATAACGATCCTTCAGTTTTAATGCTTGAAGTATACAACTTTCATAATTTCTATTTTCTAGCACGGCACTAAAGTCGTAATAGACCTGTGAATTAATAAAGATTCTGGGTATAGCTTTTGAAACAACGGTGTATCACAAGACTGACTTCATATTGTGTGGCATTTGGGATGAATCTATCAGGAACAGCCATTGTTCAATCAGTCACTAATCTAAAAATAAAAGAGGAATGCACAGCTTCAGAACACAGCCTCTCTATGACTTAGGTCAAAACGTCTTGCTTGAAATACTGTTTCATGATTTTTTTAGACTAAAAAGTTTCTCTTTCTTGATAATAAATTTGAACTACTACCAACTTTTTCAGCTTTTTGCTAATTTGTTGAATGTTTTCTATGAGGTCAAGCCTTTCTCTCAATAATTTTCGCGTAGCTCTTGGCTGTCGTTTACACTGAGAATGGTTTGCTATTGAACTCTGTATTATGTTGAAAAAATTGAGATATTGCGACACGGAGCATTTTTAGTTTAAAGTCCAGTTTCTCCATTAAAAATCTGTTGAACTCTATTTTCCAGTCATATACAATCGTTATCAACGCGACAAGTTCTATCAATTTATATAATAAAATACTTTTTCGCTTCCATTTTCGGATGGTATTCGTAAATAGGTATGCACCAGTATCTGTATTAATACCGAAAATACCTACTTTTTTTCATTCGATTCTTTGTCGTTTTTTGCTTGAATACAGTTACTTTAGGCTGCCAAACAGTGCGAAAGAGTAATGAGTCAAACCAGAGACTTTGTTTGCTTGCTGAGGCCCAAACGTGCCAACAAAACCCAGCTTAGTATTGTTTTTCCTTTTCTCACTGTCTGGGAGCCCAACATAGCTGAATTCAAGCAGAAAAACGTAAAAGGATTGAATGAGAAAAAGTAGGTATTCGATATACCGATACAGGTACATATCCATTCATAAATAGGAAGGAAGTTGATGACTGCACAAAACCCATTTCGGCTATTATGTTATGCTTTCTATCAGATGGAAGAATGATCTCGAACGTCCCATGTCCTGTAGCACGACTAACAAGGCACTAATTAAGTGCCAGAGAATGGTATAAATGCTCACCGGACACACAAATTTCCCAGCCCTCTCACTATATAATGTCACAAAACTGTATAACAAACACGCTCTGAAGAGCACACAATGTAATGAACGATGACCAAAACGTATGAACAGGGATATTTTTCAGGTAAAGTCAAAACGGAAAAAAGAAACGCTGAATCATAACAAGAAAAGAAGAAGCGAAAATAATGAACATAACTGTAAATGTGTATGCGTATACTAAAAAATGAATGAATAATAAATGGCATAACACAATAACAGAAAGAACAGAAAACAACAGGAAATAAACGCGTTTTGTTTTTGAAAGGGAAAATTTAACGAAAAAGTGATTAGAGTAAACTGGGGCAATTGGAAACGATTTTATGCTCTTTGGACTTCTAATTAGTATAACTTTGTAAATTTTAATTACTTTTTTGAGATTTTTTTTTACAGCTAGGTAGAGAAGGAAGTTATCTATAAGCCTGTCTAAAAAATTTCAAAAACTCCGTGTCCCAAGCGAACTTCCCGGTGTTTTGCTGAAAGCTCTAACGAACATTTCCAATTATCCTACTTGAGGCAATTGGAAACAACAATAGAAATTGATGGGGTAACTGGATACGCCATGTATTTTACACGGGAAATAATTCTTCGCCGAAAAAAAATTTTTCGCCGAGAAAATTCATTTTTTCTAAATAAGAGGCGAAAAACTCGGAATTCTGACCGTAATTCCCAATTTTCTCGATCAGAACTCAACTTTTGAGCAATAAAAATATCATTTTC